GCCACCAGAGTATTGCCAGTTGATGTTTTTGTGATGCAAAAAGACAAAAGAGCCCTGAAACTTAGATGACTGCAAAAAATGTATTTGAAAAATAGTACAGAGAAATTGGCATTTGGGAATTAATTGAACACAAATATACTTTGCAAAATGAATTATTTTATTTATTCATTTATTTATTTATTTGATCCGGAAAACACACATTAATAAACAATCATATACAAGTTGTACACAAATTGTAAATGTGCCAGATTGTAGCAAAACTGCTAATTTACATCCATAGGCCTGAGGCAGGTCACACAACAATAATAATACAAAAGGACAATATACAATTATAGAAATTACAGTTAGGTAAAATGATTGCAGGACTGATTTACTTTAAAATTGTGTTTTAGTTGATTTTTAAAAGAGCTATATATTGGGCATTCTCTTATGTCTGTAGGAAGGTTGTTCCAAATAAATTACTATTGCACTATTTCTTAAAGATAACAATGAATGTCCAGACAGACTTCTATCCACTTTTATAAACATGAGCCAATATTTCTGGTGGTGTCACAGGGTGTATTTGATCTGTGCTTGTCACTTGGCCGCTTATAGCTTGTTCGTTTCTCCGTGTGTCGCATTTGGAGCCGAATGTAACAGGAGCTCTCTATTCCTCTCACACCCTCTGCTAAAATGGGACTTCAGCCGATGCTCACCCAGATTATGATAAACCACTTAGCAGCACTTTGATGACATGATTTATTCTCCCAAACATGACGGCTGTCCTCCGAACGGTAATCCGACCAAGTGGTAGATGTTATATTTGTTTTTGGCTTTTGCAAGTTGCTGTCCATGTTCATCTCCAACTGTATTAACATGTCAAATCTGTTGCATAAACGACTGTCGACCCAATTATGTATTATTTACGGCATCGAGAAGGGGCTGTGAACCTTTTTCCTGTGCAGTGTTTGCTGTTGGCTTTAGTCCATCTAAAACTGTCATTAAACATACCATGATAATCTACATTTTCACATCAAAAAGTTCATGAGTTTGAATGCGAGCCCAGAGTTTGCATGTTCTCCCTTAGTGTATACGTAGGTTTCCTCCAGGTGCTCTGTTTTTACATAAACATGTATAATATGAATCAGTGAATTGAGATCTGATGCACCAGGGGAAAGGCGTGGGGGTGATGGGGTTGGATGCCATAAATCTAAGGCACATATTTGAAAGAGCCTACAATTAGCTTCCATAAATTAATTTTAAATTCAAAATAACCAAAGCTTTTAAAGATCTGTACCTTATTTGAGTCTGGGACAAAGAGATAAAAAGGGCAGGATCAGCACTTTTGGCATATGGCAATCATTTCTATTTTTTTAGTGGAACAAAACACTGAGGCCCGTGGTTTGAAGTGTTCCCATGATCCTTGCAAACTCACTGAAGGTTCCCTTTTCAGCCAAGTACACACTTGGTCAATTCACTGATCTGTAATATGCGCTATACAAATACAAATATTTACTCACTCACCTACCATGCTAACTTACAGGTCATATCTGTGGAGAGGTACCCCAACCCAGTATAATTATTCAGCCAACCTTTGTTTCACATTGGTGACCGCCGCACTACAGAGGGTTATTTGGTCTAACAGTCAAATGATTTTGTTTCAGACCATGTCAACATCTGATAACTCAGTGGCTTGATTTGGTATCATCTGTGATGATTAATCACAGGGCCAGACTCTGAATAAGCCAACACTATTGCATGGTAATCAAGTCTCATGAAGTCTATTTGCATTTACTTAAAATTGTCAACATTCTCTGGGACTCGTCAATAACTTGTGGACCTTTCCCTCATTGATTTCACGTGAGGCTGTCCAGCTGCTGTGAGCTGGGGTTATTATAAAGACAGACATATATGTATTACTAATTAAAGTAGTGTAATAATATGAGCCATTTCATCCTTCTGTCCGATTTGTCCTTTATGTTGAGACTAATAACTATCTGCTTCTTTGTTTCTATTTTGTATTGCAGTCTGTAAAAATTGAAAAAGGATTTGACAGAAAAAACAAACAGTAATATCTCTATGATTTCTATTTTTTGTTGCATTTTTATCAACTAAAAAAAAATTGAAAACAACTCGGGAGGTCACTTGGACTGATCATGTCACAACGTTGGCCTGCTGTGAGAGTATCTGTGGTGTTTGATGGTCCGCAGGCCTTTGATCAGTGTGCGGCTCTTATCTGCCGTGGTAAAACATGAGCTTCCTCTTACTCCACGGGGTTAAAGTACGACACATTCATCATTTGTGGGTCACTGCTAGAAATGGGTTATCACACTGAAACTGTGTCATGTCTAGCTTTATCTTCTTGTTTGTGTGTGCAAAAACACATTAGAAATTTAAGCTTTGTGTATATAAACCAAACCAAATAACCTGGCCTAAATAGAAAAAAAGTGATTGAATAGACAGAAACAGGACTTAATAAAGATGAGTGTACTTCACACACGATACTCACACGAACAGGACTGAAACAAATACACTGCATTAAAACAAATATGTTTTTTTGTTATGACTTTTGGTATTGAGCGAAAGGACTAGGGCTGTAATTAGTTAGTTGGTCAATTGATTAATTAAATAACACACAAATTTAGTAACTGAATAATACCTTTTGAACCTTACACTGCCTTAAGCTTGCTGAGAAGAGGTTTTATGGCTCAGATGATTATATGATTGCAGAATATAATTTAAAAATTGTGTTATTTTTAATCAAACAACCAAATGTGTAAAGTCATGTCTAATAAGCTGTTCTCCAGAGGGATAGCTTGAGCTTTGTTTTGGTCAAATGTATCAAAAATCCAAGATTCACTGACTTTTCAGGATCTGAACAACTAATTGATTAATCAAAAGAATAATCATTATCAAAATAGTTTGGACATTTCAGCCCAAAAAAGAACACGACTGCAGACACAATTGGTCAAATGAGGATGGCTGGAGCATGGGAGGAGCTTTGAGTAGAGCCACTGTTTCTCTGTGTTAATTGCTATAGCTGAGGTGGCAAGGGGGCAATCGGGAATGTCCCACCGGGAGAGTTTTGGGTTCATCTATGTCTCTCAGAATCACCTGGATGACCTGGCAGAAGTGCATGAGGAGAGAAAAGCCTCCATCTCTACACAGACTGCTCCATTGGATAAATGGCGGAAAAACAAAGGGAAACAAGTTCTTTTCCACCTCAAGTTGTAGATGTATGGCAGTGTTAACTAATTTTAGATCTATAACTGTCTGACTCAATCCTTTACTATGCAGGTAAATACGACCTTCTCTTGGTGAATACAGGGGAGTGCCACCATACATGACATAACAATGTTTGGTCAAGAAACGAAGACATGACTTATCCTCATCCACACACCCAAAGCTCTTGTACTCCCAGTTTACTTCAATAACATGACCTCCCAATGACCAGCAGCAGACACAGATTATGAAATAGTTTTGAAGTCTGGAATTCAGCCCAATATTGAAATGTTTTCATTCCAGGACAGCAATACAGGTGTAACAACATCACTGTGAGGAAATTGTCATTTTCTTCTAACAGAGACATATTTTTGTGCCTGTGGCAGTTTCAGCTCCAGCCAGTGATTTTATTGTGTACATTTTTATGTGTGTGCAACAAGTGACTGTTTAGGGATGATACACTCAAATGGTAACTGAAGGACAAAAGGCTGTTATTTCTCTACTCTACTCTTCTTTTCTCTTATTCTGCAATAACTAATATATGCTTCCCCATGTAGAGGACGTGTCAGATACTAAACTGATGAGGATAGATAACACACTTGACCTTAGCCAAAAGGCAGAGAAGCGATGGCTATTACTACTGTTCAATAATAATATTTTTACTGTTCAATATAATATTTTTTTAAATCATATTTTATTTTTCCTTCAATATTTGCCAACCACACCCTAATGCTTGTGGTAAACTCACTGTGAGCATAAATACATTATGATAATAAAGGATGAACTAACAACAATATATGAAGAGTTCATTTGCAAAAACAGAATCTTCGTTTTGAAAATTTGTCAAAAAGTTGTTTTCCTCAAGCTACAATCTTCAAAATATTTTGTTAATTTTCAGTGTACAGCTGAGCTATATTTCTAGGGCATCGCAACAAATCTAATTTTAAGAGACTTTGCAAACAGCAAAAAGTGTAATTTGTAAGCCTTTCAACTACTACTATGATAATAAATTGAACATTATGGGCTGTGGGGGGAGTAAAAGCCAAAAATACATGCATGTGAAACTGTAGTGCCAGAACTAAACTGTTTTAGAGTTTGGAACTAGTTACATAGATTGTATTACATAGTTACATTTCTTGTGGTTGGAAAGTCAGGTATCCAGCTGCTTCAAAGGATTTAGAAGCAGAGGATATTTTCATTCGCCTACGGAGTACACACAATACTAACAGATGTATCTGTGCCTACAGCTGCTGTCTGCTCACTGAAAAGTTGAATAGAGATCACACGTTGAGTTTGTTTATTGTTAGTGTGTGACATGGGCACATACCCCTCCCACCAGAGCGATCCCAGCCAATCAGCGCACCCCTGCAGGAGAGGCGTGGTCTTCATATGTGAATCTCTCGTGGGCCTTCTCATTGTACTGAGTCAGCCAGACAGACAGACCATCACCACCATCGCCACCAAATCAGCAGCAGCAGCAGCAGCAGCAGCAGCAGCAGCAGCAGCAGCGCCAGCAGACATGCGCCAAAGCAGCTAAACTACGGCTGCGCGCGTAGGGAGACAGCGCACGGTCCAACCCACCGGAGAGCACGGACGTTACCCAAGATTTCACATCTGTTTTGGCGTTTTCCAAGAAATACAGCCAGTCTTGGTTCTCGGATTCAGCAAGAAACGGCCAATTCAACGACGATGCGGCGCTTTTTCTACTGAAACAAAAAAACATCTCCCTCCTCCTGCTCCTCCTCCGTTTTTACCGGTTCTTTCAGAGGAGGCAAAATACTTTTATTCTAACCTCAACAATGAAGCTAAAACCAAACCAGACGAGGACATACGACGGCGAAGGGTTCAAGAAGCGAGCTGCGTGTCTGTGCTTCAAAAACGATCGAGAGGAAGAGGTGAAACATTAAACAAATCTCATCAATACAGCTGTAATGTTGTATGTTGTATATGAGCTATAGAAACTGTGAATCGTTCGCATGGTGTGTGGGGGGTATGTGCAAATATGTTTGGCCTGTGTTGAATTACTGTTTATTTTTTGTTTTAGTTGTGTTATGTCAAAATAGTGAATGAACATCGAGCTGGTGCGTCTTGGGCTATCCAGTTTGGGCTAGTTTGGGGTGCGCGAAACAGAAAAGGCACTTGTCAAGTATCAACAAATGGCAGAGGGATGAATGTTTCAAAATAAAAGGACTGCGTAAAATACGAACGTACCAAGCATACAGCGCTTATTGGAGATGCTCTTATTTTGAAGTTGACATCACTCCGCTTCCGGTCCGAATAACTCTTCTTTGATATAATAAGGGGGCGAGGCGCTACTGCTGTTACGTTTTCTGTTTGGGCTCATTACGCACGCCTGTTGCGTGTGGAGATAAAAATAATAGCTTATTGTAAGTGTTAACATGGATTCAATAGCACTGCAGGCTTTAGTGCATTAGAACCGAGGCAGCACCAAGAAATGAACTGGGCAAAGACTTAAAGAAGCAATGTTGTGAAATACGGATTTGATCAATTCTTGCCCATTTTTTCCCATTTAGTTTTGGTGACGCACTCTGTTGGGGCCAGCTTACAGTAGCATACAAGCCTATTCAGATAATTTTTGCCTTTCGCGTCGAGTATCCTATCCTCCCCCAAATCCATCAAAAATAAGTTGTATAGATATTTCTTAAGTATGTATGTACATTTATTTCACTTTATGTAGCCTTCACTTACTGTCTTGTACTGTGGTCAAAGGGTTTCACAATATTTTCAGAATTGGTGCAGTTTCTAAAAGCTTTGTTTTGCCTCTTTAGTGATGTAACTACTGCCACTGTCACACTCAATATAGTGACGGCCGTACCAATAAATAATATATTAGGTTCAGGCTAAAAATATTGGTAGTCTGCTGCCGAATTGGACTCAAGTTTTATAATTCACGGCAAACGTGTAAAGCCTTAAGGAATTGGAGTATAAAACATGTTGTGATTTATAGCCTGGCACTTATTAGACCACAGACATATTGCATAGTTTGCCGGAGAAGCAGATATTTATTTTCTGGTAATTACTTTAATTCAAGTCAAATAAGCTCTCATGTTGTCACACACCTTAATAATGTTCGCAGATATAGAAACTAAGTAGTCTTTCTTCATATTAAGAAGTCACACTACTTTCTTTGAAGTGACCACCTCCAATATCCACTTCTTGTTTTATTGGAACAAAACAAGAAGTAACATGAATTATCACGCCGGTGCTTTGGTTGCAAATAATAATTATGTGTTTATAATCTACATATGTATTAAATCTTTCAAACAAATTTTGATGTTAGTCATGGAAAATTTACAACATTACATTCACTAACATTCAATGAATATCTACCCTCAAACTCAAAGTGTTATGCCAAAGCATATGCCAAAGCAAGTATTTTCACACTGGCAAACATTGACACAGGCTGTCGGGTCTAAATGACTCGGCAAGGAACCTATGTTTTGGTGAATGAAGATCTTACTGTCAAAGTTTGGACTGTTACACGCGCTGTTATCTTTTTAAGTTGTTCCTGTAAATGTGTTAAAGAGTTACGATAGAAAGTGTTGATATTTCTCCATGTGAATGATAAACCTGCCATATGGGAATCCCATTTATTTTGACACAGGTCCAAACAACACTCCGAGCAGGGGCACAAGTGTCTCGTGTCGACACGTCATTAGGTCCCAGGCTTATACTGACCCTGCATCATGAAAACGCCTTATGTGAGAAATATGATTTTATTCATGAAAGTGTTCAGCGAGTATTATTCAAGTTTGCGATGTTTGCTAAATTAACTGTTCCTGTGAGGACCAAAATCCAAAAGTGTGTTTCAGAAAAAAAATAAAACTTTCTAATTATTTACATTTGCTCGGTCAATAGAACTAGATCTAAAGGAACAGTTGATACGATTTTATCTACAGTATATTTTATCAGTGTTCTCGGGGACAAGGTCAATAAGCCCTTTCTGATCAAAAAGTTCATGCTGATTTATTCTTAAAGCCACCCTGTGTAATTTTTTTACAGTTGCTCCATATGCAAAAACATGTTAACTAATAACAAATGTGACCTTTTTAAGAATATTTACCGCCACCATGTTTTTTAAATTGTATTTATAGGCTTAGAATTTAACTTATAAGTGTCCATGAGAGAGGAGTGCTCTCAGTGAAAAACGGTGGTGGATAAGGGACAAAAAGGAAGCGAGAATTGCGTTTTCGTTTCACATGAGCTACTGATATTGTGTGCCTTAACAAGTTGGAAGAAGGAACCATGGAGGACCACAGTTATGTAAAAGAACGATCCGAACAACAAATAAAATAAAACACACACAGAATCCCCACAAAACAATCGCCAGAATACTTTATCAGCAGCGTGAGTGAGTGTTGTTTTCTTACCATCATGCAGATAGGGCGCTGTGGCTAATGCTAAAGCTAACATGAGCTTTTAGCCATGTCCTGCCGCGGCTCAATATATGTCCTGATTCTTTGATCATTGTAGTTTTAAGCTCCCGCAGACTTTAATCCTCCATGCGTCTCTTCTCTTCACACCGCGTTTGTAAAACTATATATTATAATAGATCCTTGGTAAAACTCAATAGAGCCTCTGTGCAGCGGATGCTGCGTCTGTACTATAGACTGTATATATTAATGGACAGAGTCACGCCTATCTCCGGCGTTCTAACTAATGGGCCAAAAATTGTGCTCTACTGGAGCTATCCAAATGGCTGCGAGTGGTCCCGCCCACAAGAAAATTGTGAAAAAACTCATCTGCGCATGCGTCAGCCGGCGAGAGCTCCATTCATTTGAACGAGAGACTTCAAAAATTCACAGCTTCTGGTAGATGGGATGAATGCACTTGATTTTCATAAAAGATTGAGAGTTTTCCTTTTCACTGAAGAATGGTACTGATTTGTTTTTGTATTTTTGAGTTGTATTTACATTATTTGGATAATTGAATGTTTAAAATGTAATGTAGAAATTTTTTTTTTTTTTTTTTTTTAATTTAGATTATTTTTGTTGCTGCTGTTAATGTTGCCGTGTGGATGTGTTTGTCTGTGTGTGTATAGATGGCTACTGTGTATTTTTGTTATAACGTTTCTGTATTGTTTGTGTGTGCGTGTGTGTGCGTGCGTGCTTATGTATGTGTGTATGTATGTATATGTATGTGTGTATGTATATATATATAATTTTGTTTTTGTACATTCATTTTTGTCCTTTGTACGTTATATTATGTGACATGAAGTATATAGACCCCAGGAAGAATAGCTACTGTCTCTTTCAGTAGCTAATGGGGATCTGAATAAAAACAAAACAAACAAACAGCGAGTAAACTAGACTGGTCCAAAAAAATCCACCCCCCTCAGCATTGACACACATGTGGAACGGAGCTTTGGGCCAAGAGCCAACTTTTGGACCATCCTGTAAAGACGTTTTCGAGAGGTCTGCCAATGCTACAGTACCTTGCGAAAGTATTCGGCCCCCTTGAACCTTTCAACATTTTGCCACATTTCAGGCTTCAAAATAAAGATATAAAAATTGTATGTATTGTCATGAATCAAAAACAAGTGGGACACAATCGTGAAGTGGAACAAAATTTATTGGATGATTTAAACTTTTTTGACAAATAAAAAACTGAAAAGTGGGGCGTGCAATATTATTCGGCCCCTTTACTTTTAGTGCAGCAAACTCACTCCAGAAGTTCAGTGAGGATCTTTGAATGATCCAATGTTGTCCTAAATGACTGATGATGATAAATAGAATGCACCTGTGTATAATCAAGTCTCCGTAGAAATGCACCTGCTCTTTGATAGTCTCAGGGTTCTGTTTAAAGCGCAGAGAGAACCATGAAGACAAAGCAACACACCAGGCATGTCCGAGATACTGTTGTGGAGAAGTTTAAAGGACAACTCACCCTCAAATCCACTTTTTTTTGCTGATAAACGGTATAAATGAGTGTCCAATAGTGTTGTCTACATATCCTGCTCATAATTTTGTCACTTTGGTGCAAATTAGTTGAAAGTTAAACTTTCTGCCTAAAACCGTCTGTGAGGCGCCATCTGCTGGCGACCTGTATTACTACATTTGAATTTTGAATCTGGCGCCAACACTGGCGCGGCAGCAAGACCTGACGTCTGAAGCAAGACCTGACGTCAGCAGCCCCCCGCCCAGAGCAATGTAAACGGCCCAATCTCGTTCACGCCCCCTTTAGTCCTCCAGGCTACGCCCATTTAGAGGAAGATTTGAACAGGAAATGTGAGTGACGTAAGCTCCGAGGAGCGGGGTGAGAACTACTTTAAAGCCAGATTTGGATACAAAAAGATTTCCCAAGCTTTAAACATCTCAAGGAGCACTGTGCAAGCAATTATATTGAAATGGAAGGAGTATCAGACCACTGCAAATCTACCAAGACCCGGCCGTCCCTCCAAACTTTCATCTCAAACAAGGAGAAGACTGATCAGAGATTCAGACAAGAGGCCCATGATCACTCTGGATGAACTGCAGATAACTACAGCTGAGGTGGGAGAGTCTGTCCATAGGACAACAATCAGTCGTGCACTTCACAAATCTGGCCTTTATGGAAGAGTGGCAAGAAGAAAGCCATTTCTCAAAGATATCCATAAAAAGTCTCGTTTAAAGTTTGCCACAAGCCACCTGGGAGACACACCAAACATGTGGAAGAAGGTGCTCTGGTCAGATGAAACCAAAATCGAACTTTTTGGCCACAATGCAAAACTATATGTTTGGCGTAAAAGCAACACAGCTCATCACCCTGAACACACCATCCCCACTGTCAAACATGGTGGTGGCAGCATCATGGTTTGGGCCTGCTTTTCTTCAGCAGGGACAAGGAAGATGACTAAAATTGATGGGAAGATGGATGGAGCCAAATACAGGACCAT